ACATGGCATACGTTCTGCCCGTTGTCACGAAAAAAGACTCTTTGGAAACGGTTGTACGAGAGCTTTAAAGTGTTCGGACCCGCGGCCAAGAAATGGTGTCTTAAGAAACAGGAAAAAATGACTTCTTGAAATGAGAGCGAAAGTGTTGTATTTTCGAAACGAGCTTTTCAGGTAATCTAGACTCGTGTCGTTAGTACGAGCCGGGGTAGATGTATAGGGGTCGTAATTCTTGGCTTTTCTACCCCATAGAGGGCAGTGGGTAGTGGTAACGAGCTTGGGGATATGTATAGCCTGAAGGGAGGAAGGGCTGGGGAGGAGGTCGGAATGCTCAACGGAAGGGGTAAAATTTACATTTCAACTTTTAGAGTTGAGAAAGTGCATGTGGGTTTAAAATCAGAGGGCTACCCGGCTAGGCTTGAGATATTTATACACTCTGCTGTTCCACAAGGAAGGGCACGACTACCGTGCCTTTAAGCAAAGACCTCAGTGGCAAAGAGATGGCGCGTGCAGGCCTGGGTACGTAATATTCACACTCACATACATATTATACGTACAGACTGATGTGTGAAACAAGATTCACATTTCACAAAAACTCGCACATACCCACAGGTACCACACAGACAAACAAACAGACAGGCAGACAGACAGACTGACAGATGACGAAAGCGAAAAGGGTAAGGGGGCAGGAAAAGAAAGAGAAACATAGAGAGTGGGGGAGAGAGAGATAAAGAGAGAGAGAGAGAGAGAGAGAGAGAGAGAGAGAGAGAGAGAGAAGAGAGAGGGGGGCGGGGGGAAGAGGAGGAGGGGGGAGATAGGAAGGAGAAAGAAAGAGAGTGGAATTAGACGTAATCAGAGAAGAATAATTATATCCCGTTCAAGTTACTTGAGCGGCGCTTGTGATTGGGAAGGACTCCGAAGTGAGGCTGAATGGGGAGGAGAGGGGGAGGGCGGAAAGATAATCTGAGGATGAGAGCCGGGAGGACGGAAACAGACAATAAAGAATGATGGCACAAAGAGAAGGCCATCTCCATTCCCCTCTTCTCTCTCACTCTTTCTTTCTCTCTCTTCCTCTCTTTCTTTCTCTCTCTCTCTCTCTCTCTCTCTCTCT